TCTCAAAAATTGCATCTGATTGGCTGAAAAGTTTAGAGAGATTTTTTCTACCAATCATGCATCGTGGCACGGAACCAAGTTGTCACGGAACATACGTATAGCTGCCGTGTACCACATCCTGCATCACCATGTCCACACGGAACGTACTCAGCATGATGGACATCATGACGATGAACAAGCGCCGCGAAACCAATACAAAAATGCTAGTATTAAAAAAGGGCACGTGTGATTATCGGAATCAACGCATAAGGAGTATGCCATGGATGGTTTCGGCCACTAGCTGAAGGGACTCGCGTGTCGGATAGTTGTTGCCATCGAGTTGAATGGTGGCCGCCATTGTGAGGATTTCACTGTTTTGTCGCTTGAAAATCAGCCAGCTCAAGTAATTGGTGACAAACCCATACACAACGTCCAAGTTTTCGGTGTCGGCCAGCGCCTCGCAGCCCAGCAAACATTGGGACATGCCTTGATCCATGTTGTTTTTCTTGGCTTCGACGATATCCATGCGTTGGGTGCCGCGACGAAGAACGAGATCAGACTGCCCGTGGACCTTGATTCGCTTGCCATCGACCTCTCCATGCGACTCAAGTTGGACGCCAACGATGCGCCCCACGTGGGAAAATATCTGGTCGATGAAGACCACTCGCGTTACTTCTTTCGATTCCACGTCCACACGGCCATGCGCATCGGTAACAACCTCCATGCCCGCCGCTAACGCATCCATGCGGCTGTGTGCAAGAGGAACTCTCGGAAATGTTGTTGTTGCCGTGCACTCGCGAAACACCGCACGAACGACGCCCCACTCGACGGTGGAGTACGGTGCTGATAGCTCAACTCCATGAAACGGCTTCAAAAGACTGTGCCGCGCCAGAGCATCGTTGAGGGCGGTCCATCGTCTCGCTTTGGCGTCAAGCCCAACCAAAACATGAACTGTTCCACGGTGCGATGTTTTCGCCGAGTTGAACCACAGCGAGATCCGCGACGTTGCAAATATTTTGGTCTTGCTGGCATACGCTTTCAGGGACGTTTCTGTCATATCAATGGGCTTCCCGTTGTGTTGAAGGTACCAGCCCTGTCGTACGAGGCCAACCACGCAGTAGAGGTCCAAGTCGTTCTCGTCACAGGTGATGGTGTTGGGGTTCTCGTGCTTGATCTTGGCTCTGAGATCCCCCACGGTCTGACTTGGCGTAATCTGAACGTAGAAAAAACGCCCCGTGCCGACAACGAAGCACAAAAGCGTCGGCATCTTTGGAAATGGTGATTGCCTACATTGCGTGCAACGCAACAATCAGCAACGCAACAATCAGTGCATGAATTTCGTGAAAGTATCGCTGATTGGTTAGACTATATCCAATCCAACATACAGTACTATTAATAGTACTGGTATGCTCGTATTCCGGATAAGTATTGTCAATTTCACCGAGAAAATGACATGAAATATAAACGACCCATTATATTTTCGATTTCTTGAAAACAAATTGGCCAAAATTTAATTATTTCACTTACAAATGCCTAGTGATTAAATTTGAAATTGAAATTACGCGGTATTTACAAGCTCGCTAATCACAATGCGTCATATTATACTATCTCAAGATATTCAATGCACTATTTAGACCACAGTATAGTACTTACAGTGGAATGTAATCAAAAATGATCTAATTTGACTGATATTCTGTACAGTACAACTGTACTCTTCCTGAGTTCACTACAGTACATAGTATTGTACGTACAGTAGATTGTACTAGCATATGCTAATCAAGTGAAGTACGTACTTCACGCGGATGTACAGAATGGAGTAATTTTCAGTTAACCTTGCATTCAAAGGAAGGACTGATGCCAGTACTTTGTCTAGTACTCGGAGTACAAGAAGGACAAAATTTGATACCGCATAGAGTAAGCTTACGTACAGTCAATGATTACTATACGTATACTACGTTGGCAGTAGTACTTGGTCCTATTAATAGTAACACAGAACAGTACTGTAAAGGACGATATTTGACGCTGCATATACTACAGTACAGTACAGTACATGATACTATTAATAATACAGTATTAGTACTACTATTAACAGTTAATAGTACCGTATAACTACTACTTAGTAGTATTTACAGCTGTACTTCTTTGCTGCACTATAAATACTA